GAAATATTTCTTCTTGTATTCCTCTTTGCGTTCCTTGTATTCCTTCTTGTGTTTCTTCTTGCGTTCCTTCTTGCGTTCCTATAAATAAATATATAAATATTTTTTTAAAAAGAAGCAAATTATTATATTTAATATTATTACCTTTAGTTAAATTCAATATCTCACGATTAATTTCTATTTCTAGTTCTGTTTTTGTTAGACCTATTGGACGTGTTCTTTTTTTATTTGACATTCCCAAAGGTGTTACTGGTTTTTTTCTTTTGTGAGGAGTTGACATTTTAAAGTAAAATTAAGATTATAATGACTAGAGAAAAACGTTCACTATAATAGTGACCACGAAGTGTTTTCGATTCTCACAGTTACATATTTATCTATTATTTTCAGAACACAAGATCTAATTAATTATATTCTAATTATTTCGAAAGGTTACAATTACATTTAAAATATTAAAATATTATATTTGATACTTACTTTTGGATTATTAAAAGGTTAATATACTGTAAATATTCGAAAATAATCAAATGATTACTTCTTGATATCGAAATAATAAATCTTTCTATATTGATATAAATTTTAGTAAATATTTGATCTGCTTGAAATTAGTCATTGATATTATACTTTATATTTACTTCAATAGATATTCTCTAGTATTTTATAATTTTCTCTTTCACAAAATACTTAAAAAAAAGAATATATAAAGGTTAGTTAAAAACAGTAAGGATTAAAATTAAAATACAATAAAATTCTCTGCTTATATATAGTATATAGATTTCATAATTAATAACTTCGTAAATTTATTATACAATACAAACATGAAATAATTACATATACTTATTTCAGTAACACTGGTCGAAAATTAATAAAACATATATATATTGGGTACCCGATATATATATATTTTATTAATTTTCGACCAGTGTAATTTTATAGATGTAAATATTTGTTAAGAATATTATACGATTTGGTAAAAACATGTTTGTTTATATATAATATAAGTATAGATTTACAATATTCATATAATAATAATTATTCTTATTTGAAAATTTTATTGTAAATATTATGTGTGAATGTTTGTAATATTTAAACAATGCTAATTCAAACTCATTGTAATCATTGTCTAGTTATTCTGAAAATTTTTAACTATAATATATTAAATCATTAAAGGTTTCGAGAATATATTAATACTAATAAACTTTGGATCAATATGATATCTAATAAAATTATAACAATAATATAATTATGTTCAGTGAATATAAATACTAACCTTAATTGTTATGATAAATTTTGAAAGATATTATTAACAATATAATTTTGCTATAATAAACTTCGAAGAATATTGTTAACAGTACAAAATCAATTAAAATTATTATGATAAATTTCTGAAGGATATCGTTAACAGTGTAATGTCAATTAAAATTGTTGTGACAAACTTTAAAAGACATTGTTAATAATACAATATCAATTAAAATTATTGCAATAAATTTCAAAGGATATCGTTGACAGTACAATGTTGATTAAAATTGTTGTGATAAACTTCGAAGGATATCGTTGACAGTGTAATATCAATTAAAATTGTTGCAATAAACTTCGAAGGATATCATTGACAGTACAATGTTAATTAAAAATTGCAGTAATATAAATACAAGTGATGACTATTGAAATGATATATTATGAATATCTAATATAAATGAAGGTTATTGATACGAAATTACTATGAAAATGATAATATTTGCAAAATTTTGTACATGAAGATATCAAAATTGATGACCTTCAAAGGTTATCGATACGAATTTACTATGAAAATGATAATATTCGTAAAATTTCACACATGAAAATATCAAAATCGATAATCTTCGAAGGTTATTGATATGAATTTACTACGAAAACGATAATATTTGTAAAGTTTCATTACGTGAAAATATCAAAATCGATAACCTTCGAAGATTAGCGAAGACCTTCGAAAGATAACATATCGAAAAACAGTAAAATACTTACGTTAACGTTAACTTTTGAAGGTTTTCACTAAAAAAAATTTCCTGATGTTGTAAAACTTCGAACGTAATAGTAATATTATTGAAACTTACACAGGGAATATATTTTAGACGAGATTTATGAATTTGATGTAAAACTTGTCTTTCAAGCCAATCACATATTTCAGATAATGTAAAATTGAATCCCGCTTTTTGTGAAATTTCATAAAGCTTTTTACTAGTCCTTTAATATCCAGAAGGATAATAATAGATTTTTTGCAAATCAATACTAATATCAAGTTCACGGGCTTTTTGTGAATCAATATAAATTACAGGTTCGCGCATTACTTTGATTTAATATAGATAACAAATTTTTCATGGATCTAGCACACATTGAGACGTTAGAAACCAATAAAGTTTTGAGAGATGAACTTAACTCTGAGATAAATATTAATATACTTAATGAGAAAAAAATTTGGAAATATCTTTACGAGTTAGAGCAATGTAACAAAACTATATCATTTCAGGATAGCACTATTATAACACAAGAATCAGAGATTCATGAATTAAAATCTCAGGTCTTAAATCTAAAAAAATGTCTTAGAATAGTATTAGAAGACGTCAAGAAAAAAGAATCATATATTTTATATTTAGAGCAAGAATTAATTAATCTTGAAGATGAGATAAATCGGTTAAAAACCAGAATACATGAAATATGTTCACATAGGAATATATTAGAAGATAATACAGATATGATCCAAAGACTACTCCAACCACCTGCAATAGAAATTAGGCAAAATTATGATGATATTCAAAGACATCTAGGTGATGTTAGATTATATTTTCAAAATCAAATTCAAGTACCTTTTAGTCGAGATGCTATTTTAAAAAAACTTGGATTAATTTCAATGTCTGTAAATAGACTTCAGGAAATAGCACAAAATAATCAACCAATTGATCAAAGAATTACTCAACTCCAAAATCAATAATACTTCCCAAGGAATTTTAAATTTAATACGAACTACTTTTACAAATGAACAACAAAAGCGTCAACGAATATTTGCTAAATATATAAAATAGAAGAATAAAGAAAAAAATTCACGACAAACAATTATTAATTTACATCAACAAATTTTTGTATTACAGAATAATCCATTATCAAATCTAAACATGGCCACCATACAAGATGTTATGTAAACTATTTCACTATGTCTTGCTATATTACCAGATTATAATGGACAAGAACCACTGCATACTTATTATGCAAAACTTAGAGCTATAAATTAAACAGTCAGACCTTTAGGTATTGTCACTTTTAATGATGCAGAAAGAGCGAATGTCATGAAAAGTAAAATGACAGGTAGATTTTTTTCAGTTCCAGCACAAAACTCATATAATACTAATGCAAATATTGTTACTGAAGCAGAAGTCTATAACTGGATACAAGGTAAATATCGAGAAACAATGATTGGAAATCAACGAGTATTATTAAAAATACTTATGAGTGAAAGGTTCACTTCACTAGATACAATTGATACTTATGAAAAAAGAATTAGATACTATATATTAGGTATTGTCGATGGAGAAGTATTGCCATATCTTTATGATTATTTACCTCTTAGATTAGAAACACAAATCAAAATAGCAAATCCAAATACTATAAATGACTTCTTTATATAATTAAGGATTATTTGACTGAGTCTGGAGGATCTACAAGTAATTTGAAAATGAAATTAATACCAGTGCTAGTACTATAGCATATAGTATTCCTATAAATCAATTTCCGCAAAATAATATTGCATTAGAAAAATTTGTTGATATTGCAATACGATTGGAATATTCAGGTGATTTATCAGATTCCATAGCAATACATCAATTTGTTGAAAACGACCTTACTAAAAATTATGGAAGACAATCTAATCATATTAAAAAAAAACCTTTTGAACAAAATAATAATACCAGAAGTGCTAAAAAAGTATACGCTATAAAGAAACTGCAGAAACTACAAAAAGTTACATACAAATGCTCAAATTGCAGAAAAATTAGACATAGAAAAAATATATGTCCTAGATCTGTTAAGAAACCTAAAAAAGTTAATAATGTTTATCAGAACGATTCTGAAAATTCAGATGATGAGGAGATAGTGATATTGAAAGATAATGAAGACAAAAGGGGAGGAAGAAAAAATCACCTTTGATAATAATAATAATAATACACAATCCTGTTTTAATACAAAAAAAAAAGTCAAATTCCTGTAAAGAAGAAGGTTTCTACTAAGAAAAAATCGATCGTTACTTTGGAATAGGAAGTATTTCTTAAATCTCTTAAATATATAATATCCGAATTAATACCTAATTGTCCTAGGGAGATTTTCATTGGACTTCATACATTTCTTAATAACCTGTTTATAAAAATGAAGGATCAGTTTGATTCATATTATGGTAAAAAGTATACAGTCAAAGAATAAAATAAGGTATTGAATATTATTACAAAAAAATATCTAACTATTTTCCAACTACTTATTGAAATTATTAAGGACCAGACTCTAAACTCTTCGAGTCACAAAGAAATGAATCACGATTATGAGCTTATATCTCAACCAGAAAAACTTGACAATTCCATTACATTAAATCACGCTATCAAGGAGCACAAATAAGACAAAATTGGTCTAACCCTTTTGAAATTGATTTTTTCGATATAAAAGAACCTAATGATGTAACAACGATTTTATGTAGAATAGGTGACTTGATAATATCTCATGCAATTCTAGATACCAGTACAAATGATTTATTATATACTGATAACATTCCTGAGTATTTAGGGATAAAAATAGATAAGAAAAATGTTCACAAACTTACTGGCGCAATTGAAGATTTCTAATCTATTGATACTTCATATAATGTTTCTATAACCATAGATATTGGAGAAGATTCTATAACAGTTCCTGAAAATGAAGTATCTATAATTTCTACAAAAAAAGATAGATATGAAAATGATATATCTATAATGATACTTAGTACTAAGTGACAACATCATGTCAAGTGGGATCCTATAGTAAAAGGAGAATTTACTATACGTGTTACCCAAATCCCAAATCATTTGGGATTTGGGACGCTAAAATTCCAAATTACTAGTATTTGAAATTTAGGATTTGGGATTTCAGCAAAAAATACTAATCATAATTTGGAATTTGGGATTTGGGATTTTGGCATTTGAGATTTTGGTATTTGGATTTTGAATTTGGGTGACAGGTATAGAATTTACAGCAACACACAATGGAAAGACTATTACAATTCCTTTTTCTACTTACAAAAAATCACGCAATGTATTAATACAGAAAAATTACAGATGTCAGAGGTAGGCTCGAAGAGCTATTATCTTACAATAAAAAAAAATGCGTAAATTGTGAAAGTATGATTATTCATATAAAAGAACTTGAAAAAGCACTATTTACTAGTATTCAAACCAATTCAGAATTTATTGGATATTATAATGATTTGTGCAATTAGTATAAAATAGAAATCAATTCTATACTTTTGGAGTAGATTGTTTAGATATATTAACACGAACAATTGCTCTAAATTTTTTCTCCTCTTTTTGTATTCTTTTATGGAGTTCTAAAATATCTTCAGTTTCTTGTGAAGTTTCAGGTGGTATGGTTTTTTTTTGTTTCTAATGACATTTCACTTAACTTTCTGATTAAATTTTTATTAATAGAAAGTTGATCCAAAATACGAATATACTTGAATTTTATTTTTTTAATTGATATTTCAATAATTGAAGGTTTCTTGATTTGAAAATCATTTAAAATAGAAGAGTCATCAGAATCAGAAGGTGATGGAAAATTAAGATCTTGTTGTAAACGTTTATTGTGCTTCCATATTTCATAAATACGACGAGCACCAATATGAAATTTTTTTGTCATTTTTTTCGATATGCTTGGTACCTTTCCCCTTGATTCTTTAATTTCTATAATATCAGATTTGGATAAATAAGTCACATTGGATCAATAAAATTTTTGATGAATATGAGTAAACATCTTAAGATAAATATACTGTATATATATTAGAAAAAAATTTCAATAATTTTTCAAAATGCATTGATACATATTGATGCTTATTATGAGTATTGATATTTTATTGATGCCTATTGATACTTCACTGGTCAAATTGTGAAAAATCAGCACTATTAACTGTGTAAACCTTCTACAATTTATAAAGACAATGGGATAAAATAATACTAAAACTAATAATAAAACTAAGTATAACTATAAGAATTACTAATCTCTCGATAAAATAATCACAATACAAGGGTTTATGCGTAGAAGGAATTAAG